GGGGGGGGCCCGGGGACCCCCCGCCCCGCCCGGCCCGGGGGCGCGAGCCGTGCCGCTGGCCACGCCCACCGACTGACCACGCCCACTGCCCCGCCCACGGATCACCGCGCCCCCCCCATCGCCCCGGGGACACCCCGGACCCCCCTTCTGCAGCGACACGGGGGGACACAGGGGGACACAGGGGGGCACCGCGACCCCAGGACGTGGGGACATGGCGACACGGGGGCACCGGGTTACGAGGACACCGGGACATGGGGACACCAAGACACGGGGACTCCGGGATACAGGGCCAGTGAGACACTGGACCACCGGGAGATGGGGACATGGGGTCAGTGGGGCCGCGGCAGAGCCTCCAGGCACAGCCCCAGCCGCGTCCTGTCAGGAGCCTCCCAGGCCCAACCCTTCCATCCCAGCCCAGCCCCCTTCCGAGTCCCAGTCCCAATCCTGATCTAATCCTAATCTCAATCCTAATTCTAGTTCCAGTCCAATTTAGTCCTGGTCCCACTCGCAGTCCTGTCCAGTCGAAATCCCAGTCCCAGTTCCCACCCAGTCTCTATCCAGTCCAGTTCTGGTCCCAGTCCCAACCTCAGTGTAGTCCTGCCCATCTAGTCCAAAACCCAGTTCCATTTCCACTCCAGTCCAGTCCAGTCCAAGTCCCAGTTCCGGTTCTGGTCCTAGCCCTAGTCCACTCCCAGACCAGTCCCTTCCCAGTCCAACCCAATCCCATTCCAGTCCAAGCCCAAATCCAGTCCAATCCTGGTCCCAGACACAAAGATCAGTCCCAGTCCAGTCAGGGTCCCATCACTGTCACAGTCCAGCCTAATCCCAGTCCCAGTCATCGTGCTGGTCCCAGTCCAGTCTCACTGTAGTCCAGTCCAGTCCTAGTCCCAATCCAGTCCTAATCTCAGTCTTGGTCCAAGTCCAGTCCAGGCCCAAGTCCCTGTGCCAGTTCAGTCCAGTCCCAGACCCAATCATGATGCTGGTCTGGGTGCCGGTCCCAGTTCCAGTTCAGTCCCAGTTCAGTTCCAGTCCCAATCTGAGTTCCAGTCCCAGTCCCACTTCCAGTCCAGTCCCAGTCCTAACCCCAATCTGTCCTGATCCCAGTTCTAGACCCAATCCCATTCCCAGTCTAGTCCTAGTTCAAATCTCACTCCCAGGCCTATTTCAATCCCACACAGTTAATTCCTGGTTCCAGTCTAGTCCTGGCCCTAGTCCGGTCCCAGTCCCGTTTCATCCGAGTTCAACCCCAGTCCCAGTCCCCTCCCAGTCCCGCCGCCCCCGGGCTCTGTCCCAGGTGCTGAAGCTGTCGCCGGCCTCGGCTCTGCTCCGCCGCTGGGCCGCGACCGCGGGGACCGGCTGGACCTGGATGGACCAACCGGACCCGAATGGACCAACCGGACCCGAATGGACCAAATGGACCCGAACGGACCGACAGAACCAGCTGGACTGACCGGACTGACCGGACTGACCGGAGCCGACCAGACCGACAGGACCGACCGGCCCCAACGGCTTTGAATGGACCCGAACAGACCCACTGGACCCAAACGGACCTGAAAGGACCTGAACGGACCTGAACGGACCCAAATGGACCCACCAGAGCCCAGCGGAGCGATGGGACCCGCCAGGCCCGAGCGGACTGGACTGGACCGGCCGGACCAAGCGGAGCTCAGCCGAGCCGGGCGGGGGGGGCTGCGGGGCACGGGGGGGCTGTAGGGCCGGGGGACACCGTGCGCTGCAGGGGACACTGTGGGGTACGGGGGAGGGCTGGGAGGGAGGGGGGGTGTCTGTGGGGCAGGACAAGCTCTGACCCCTCCAGCTCCCCCCTGTCCCATGGCCCAGTCCCCGCCCCCGCGGGCAGGACAGCCAATCGGATGGGCGCTCTGCCGTGACGGACAGGCCGGTCCCGCCCCCCGGGGATGGGCAGGGAACACCCTGGGGCCGGGGGGGGCAACCCGGGACCCCCCCGGGCGGGATGATCGACCCCCACTCCCCGTTCGGGGCCGGGGCCGCCCCCTCCGTGCCCCCCCCGGCGGTGCCTGGGGCGTTCCCCCCGGTTCGCCCCCCCCGCCGTGCCGCGGTACCCCCCCCGCGCCCCCCGGTCTCCCCCGCCCCGCAGGAAGGAACCGCCTCGCCGGCACCGGGCGCGGTTTCCCGTCGCTGCGGGAGCTGCGGGCCGAGCCCCCCGCGAACCTCCGGCGGGACCCCCCCGCCGGGACCCGGGTGACCCCGCACCCCCCGCACCCGAACAGCGCTCCTGCCCCGGGGTCCCCGCACTCGCGACCCCCGGGACCCCCGCCCCACTGCGGGGTCACCGCGCGACTCCCCCGCCACAACCGGGGTGACGTCCCCCCACCCCCTGCTGTTTCCCAGAGTGCCCCCCAAGGCAGGGTCAGGGGGTGCACCCCCCCCTTCGCAGGGTGTCCCACCCCCAGGGGTGGGTGCCTATCCGGGGGTCCCCGGGAGCGCCCGGCGCGTCAATGGCCGGAACTGGGTGGAAGCGGCGGGAAATGGGGGGGTCCCGCCGGACATCCGCCCCACGGATGGCCCGGGGGGCTGGGAGGGCCCGGGACCCCCCGGAGCACCCAACCACCCGGCACAGAGCACTGGGGGGGCGCAGCTCCCTGGGGTCGGGATGGGGGTCCCTGCCACCACCATGGCCCCGCAAGTGCTGCGTGTGTCCCCCGCGGGTGCCACGTCCCCTCCACTGTCCTGTGGGTGCGGTGTCCTCTCTCTGGGTGCCATCACTGCGTCTCCAAGGTGCCAGGCTCCCCCCGGCGCCATATGTGACCCCAAGTGCCATCTATCCCCCCCAGTGCCATGTCCCCGTGAGCTCCATGTGTGTGCCCCGTGTGTGCCCCACCTCTGCCGCAGTGCCGTGTCCCCCCAGTGCTGTGTCCCTCCTGGGTGCGATGTGTACCCCCAAGCTGCCATTTACCCTCCCCGGGTGCCACGTGTCTCCCTAGGGCCGTGTGTGCCCCCAAGTGCCACGTATGCCACCCAGTGCCACGCCACCTCCAGTGCTGTGTCCCCCCGGTGCCATGCGGGTCCCCCATGTCCCCCCCAGTGCCATGTCCCCCTCATGGGTGCCGTGTCCCCCACTCTGGGTGCCATCGCTGTTTCCCCATGGCCAGGTACCGGGGTGCCGGGGGTCACATTGGGTCCAAAGCCCCCCGGTGGGGTCCCCAGTGTGTCCCACACGGTGGTGGCAGGGGCGGGGCGGTGGCGGTGGCTCTGGAGGTGACGGAGGTGGCAGTGGAGGTGACGGAGGTGGCAGTGACGGTGGCGGTGCCCATTGTGCGCGGGGCGGGGGCGTCGCGGCCCCGTCACCACTTCCCCGGGCCGGAGGAAGCGGGAAGCGGCCGCTCCCGGCTCAGAGGGGCCGCGATGGGGAACCTGCCGGGGGTCCTGCCCGGGGCCCCCCGCGCCTGCCCCGGCCTCGGCCTCTGCTCGCGCCCGCGCGGCCCCGCGCCCGAGGACCCTCCTGTCACCGCTGCCATCGCCGCTGTCACCGAACCCCCCGGGTGGGTGTCCAGGTGGGATGGACGGGGTGGGATGGGGTGGGATGGACGGACAGGGCCCCGGGGCATCGGCACCCACCCTGCCGCGGCCCCGAACCTGGACGGGGACCCCCCTCCTGGCTCCCGGGGACATCCCCGCACGGCCAGAGCCCACTGGAGACGTGTCCCCGCT